AGTGGTTACTAAAAATAGAAATTTCTGTGAAATTCTTACAAAATGCTACTCCTCCTACAGTTTTGGTCTGATTTCAATATAACTTGGCACACAAGTAGACTACACTAAGATACATAATTCTGTGTATCAGTTTTTGATTTCGATAAACGGGGGAAGCCATGGTTACTAAAAATAGAAATTTCTGTGAAATTCTTTCAAAATGCTACTCCTCTTACAGTTTTGGTCTGATTTCAATATAACTTGGCACACAAGTAGACTACACTAAGATACATAATTCTGTATATCGGTTTTTGATTTCGATAAACGGTGTTGCCGTGGTTGCTAAAAATAGAAATTTCTGTGAAATTCTTTCAAAATGCTACTCCTCGGCTCCTACAGTTTTGGTCTGATTTCAATATAACTTGGCACACAAGTAGTAAACACTTAAGAACATAAAAAGACCTTATCAATGATCATTATTCTATTTGTAGTGTATTCACAACACCATTGTGGGTTAAGAACTGATTTAATTACCTTCTTTTACAGGAGAGCTTAAATTCAAGAACAGTAACTCTTAATAAAATTAGAACATACATTACATCCTTCCCCTTACAAAATTTGATACTTCCATGGACATTAAATTTAGGATAATTAAAGTACATAGTAAACTGTAACACAAAATAAATTTGATGAAATATTAATTCAGTGTTCAATTAAGATTAACAGTGTTCATTCTCGGTATCGTGCAGGGGGTTTTAAACAGCGGCCACTACGGGTAAAATGCGCAGGGTTTTCGGCAGGTGGTTCAACGTCAGATCTAGCTGTCTCGTCGACGGTATTTTGTTGCACATCTGAAGCTGCTGATATATCCTTGGTGCTCTGAGTGGTCTTAGAACGCAATGTCGCATCGGTATACACAGGGATATCATCTCTGGAAACTGAGTTACCTCGGATACGAGTAGGTCTAAGGAATTTGCGGTTACGTCTGTAGCATCGTCCTTTGCTCTCGATGACATACGAACGTTTTGTAGGGTGTAAGTCTTTAACGAATCCGCTTGTCCATTGTCCTGATTGGCTCTGCATCATTACGGAGTCTCCTGCCTTGAGAGGTTTAAGTGGTTCCTTCTTAGCATGTCTGTTAAAGTTCTCCTCCTGTTTTTCCTGTCGACATTTCATCCTGACCAATGTGTTGTCATCTACCCAAGATTTCAGTAGAGGGATTGCTGTAGGTAAGATAGACTTCAGTCTGCGTCGTAAAAATAGCTGAGCAGGTGACATATCAATACCATCAATCTTGGTGTTCCGATACTCCAAAAGAGCTAAGTATGGATCTTGAGATTTGGTAATAAGACGTTTATGGTCTGAACCATTCGCTCTGTCTGTCCATTACTCTGAGCATGGTACGGACTGGTTGTGGTATGTGTGATGTAATATGATTTCACAAACTTCTTGAACTCATAACTACTAAATTGTGGTCCATTATCACTAATTATGATATCCGGAATTCCATATTTGGAAATCATGCTTTTCAAATGAGTGATCACGCACTTAGAGGTGAGTGACTCCAGTTTGGCAAGTTCGGGCCACTTCGATAGATAATCAACTACCAGTAAGTAATGGTTTCCACTAAGTTCAAACAGATCCATTCCAATCTTTGACCACGATCTTGATGGAAGTTCGCTTGGGATCATTGGTTCCTTAGGATTAGCAGCCTGATATTTGGCACAAGTTGCACATGCGCTCACGAGGTTCTCTATGTCTTTTCCCATACCGTTCCAAAAGAGAATGTCTCTCGCTCGGTTTTTGGTCTTCACAATTCCTTGGTGTCCAATATGTAGCTTCTCCAGCATTTCATTCTGCATCGACTTTGGGACAATCAGTTTGTGAGACTTGTAGAGAATACCATCAATGCATGAAAGTTCATCACGGAAATTCCAGTAGGCTCTAATTTCCGGTGCTAGGTCTGCTTTGTTGTTTGGCCATCCATCCAAGATAGTGTCCAAGAGTTGCTGTAACTCGTCATCTTGACCAGTTTCCTTCCGGATCCTGTCCTGTACTTCCTGTGACACAGGTAAGTATGAAGTAAGATGTATTTCTATCACTTGTAGATCTGGTACGAGGGCTTCCTTAGTCTCTTTCAGATAGGAGCGACTCAAATGATCAGCCAAGAACATTTTCTTTCCAGGTTTGTAAACTACTTGAATGTCATACTTTTCAAGCGCTAACACGAATCTTTGTAGTCTTGGAGGTGAAGATAGAACAGGTTTCTTGAAGATACTTTCCAAAGGCTTATGGTCAGATTCAACCAGTACACTGTGACCATATACATAATCATGGAATTTTGTACATTCATAGAGAATAGCCAGAGTTTCTTTCTCAATCTGAGAATATCGTTGTTGTGTTTCGGTCAGTGCGCGTGATCCGTACGCAACTGGCTTATCTTCCTGAATCAACACTGCACCTAGTCCTTTAGAACCGGCATCTACGGACAACATCACTGGCTTGTTTGGATCAAAGTACTGAAGGATCGGTGCACTAGTAGTCATGCGTTTCAATTTCTCATAGCTTTTTTCCTGTTCACTTTCCCATTTCCATAGAGTGTTTTTCTCCAGTAGCTGTCGTAATGGACTGCCAACTTCCGATAGATTGGGCATAAACTTCCCTAAGTATTGAACAAAGCCCATAAATGTTTGCAAGTCTTTCACATTATTGGGACGGTCCATTTCCTGTACAGCACGGACTTTTTCGGGATCGGGTTTCAGACCCGAGTCAGTAAATCTGTGTCCCAAGTACGTCAGCTCTGAGCGTCTGATCTCACACTTGTCCACGCTGAGCTTCAAGTTATGTTGTCTTGCTCGATCCAGTAAGGCTTTCAAACGTTTGTCATGTTCAGCTTCTGTAGTTCCCCATACAATGATATCATCAATAATCGCCTTTGTTCCATCGAGATCCTGAATCATTTCAGATATGGCACGTTGAAACACTTCAGGTGCGGACTTGATTCCAAAGGGCATTCGAGTGAATCGATAACGTCCAAACGGAGAATTAAATGTGCAGAGTTTCGAACTTTCGTCATCTAGTTTGGTCTGCCAAAATCCAGAGGTGGCATCTAATTTGCTGAAAATCTTGGCTCCAGGCATCCTAGCTGCAACTTCTTCAACAGTTTTTAAGGGAAAATGTTCCCGAAGTATGGCACAGTTTAGGTCACGAGGATCAATGCAAATCCTGATCTTTCCATTTGGCTTCGTAACAGTTACCATGGAGTTGACCCATTTCGTCGGCTCGCGTTGCTTCACAATCACTCCTTCACGCTCCATTCTGTCGAGTTCTTCCTTGACCTTGTCCCTCATCAAGGCTATGGGAATCTTGCGTGGAGGGTGTATCACTGGCTGAATGTTTTCATCCACCTTGATTGAGTATGTGCCTGGTAAGCATCCAAGTCCACTGAATAAGTCCTGATAATCCTGGGGAATGCCATGTGGTACAGTACGGTTTTTCCTCACAATGCTGTGTATTCGCTGAACGAGTCCTAGCTTGGAACATGTGTCAGCTCCCAGAACAGGGTTCACAGTTTGGTCAATAATGTAGAATTTCACATATGGCAGCATTGCACCCTTCCATACACAGGGTAGTATAACAGTACCAGAACAAAGAATGTGGTGTCCAGAGAATGACTTCAGTGGTGAAAAGGTTGGTGTAACTTTCAAATTTTTGTCTATTTTCTTGAGATCAGCTGATGACAAAACATTACACTTTGCTCCAGTGTCAAGTTGGAAGTGAATATTAGTGTCCTTCACCTTCACTGTTTCATACCATTCTACATCATGATTTTCACCATTAACATTCACTGAACCAATAAAGAATTCTTCATCTGATGTGTCTACTGCATGCATAGTCTTTGATCTATTGTTTTTCTTCGAACTAGCGACAGCACGCTTTTTTCCTAAGTGACACTTAACTGCAAAGTGGTTTGGATTTCCACACTTTCTACATGTTTCACCATATGCAGGACATCGCTTAAACTCATGAGTTTGGCCACAATATTTACAGTCTTTCACCATCGATTTCTTACTTTCACTTTCGCTTTTAGTCGGTGCTGACTTCCGGTTTGGGGGAGTCCTACCTTTCGATATTCCATGTACCGATTTGTCTTCCATAGTCTGTATTTGCTGCTTAGAAATTTCACATGTACGCGCAAAGTTCATAGCTTTCTCCAGGGTCAAGTCCGAACCCTCACCAATGCATTTTTCACGTACCTTGTGATCCCGGGTACCGAACACGATGGCGTCTCGAATCATATCGTCCTGATCCTTATACCCGCATTCTTTCACTAAAAGTCTGAGATCTGTCAGAAATTTTTCAAACGTTTCTCCCTCCTTCTGTGTCCTACTGAGGAACTTGTATCTCGAATAAACACAATTTGACTTCGGTTTCACGTGGTTTTCAAATTTCTCCTTTATCACTGAGAATTTCTTACTATCTTCCTCTGAAAGGTTCCACGTTGAATAGATATCTCTTCCCTTGTCGCCAATCCATATCATCAGGTAATTACAATGTTCCTCTTCCTTATTTTTGCTCAATGGGCCCTTTCTCCAGAATTCCACGTGTTGTATAAACGTGCGCCATTCCTCAACGAGATCCTGAGCCTCCCAGTTAAATTTCGGCGTGACAGCTGAATGCATTGTATCCATCACAATCCTCGAATTCTCTTCTGTATAACTGCAGCACTTATTTCTGCAGATGGCGATGGAAAAGGGGAGATATATCCCACTTCTGACACCATGTAGTGTATTCACAACACCATTGTGGGTTAAGAACTGATTTAATTACCTTCTTTTACAGGAGAGCTTATATTCAAGAACAGTAACTCTTAATAAAATTAGAACATACATTACACTATTTATTGCTGTTGTAAAGTTTCAATTCCCAACTGCTTAAGTACTTTTCTCTTCCTTTGCTACAAGTACAAACCAGTAGAACTTCTGTCTCGACAGAGACTTCTGGTTTATATATGTACTGCACGCATCCCTGTAATAAAATGATTGTTATTATGTTCCCCAAACGAAGTTGGGGAACATATTGGTTTTACTCTGTTTTTTATTATTATTATTTTTCTTCTTCTTCCTGGGTACTTCTTTGTCCGCGAGTGATCTTGTAAACTGCTCATCCGAAGTTGGTAAAACCTTTTTAGGGTTAGTAGACATGTTATGTAGATTTGCGGAATCAAGGTCATTTTCCGCGCACGTGCTTGCAAGAGCGTGCACGTGCAACACGTGAAATGACCAGTATAATAGATATAGCCGTAACTTTTCTATTTTTTGACTATATGCTTTGAAACTCATAATATAAGTATATATTAGTTGTATATGCATAATGACATGTTCCTCGCGCACGTGCTTGCAAGAGCGCGCACGTGCAACACATGAAATGACTAATATAATAGATATAGCCGCAACTTTTCTATTCCTTGATGAAATGCTTTGAAACTCATAATAAAAGGATATATTAGTAGTATAGACATGATGACATGGTCAAAATAGCAAGATCTCACGCGCATGCACGTGCGCGTCGCTCTGATTGGCTGAAACTAAAGTCTCAATATTTTTCATGTTTCTTGTCATAATCTTTTGAAATTTTGAACAAAGTCTTAAATTATGAAGATCTACAGCATGATATATAAAAAATTTCATGAAAGCATGCGCATGCGTGCGTGCTGCAATCTGATTGGCTGAAACTTTAAATGGCTATATCTCCTTTGTTTTTTGACGAAATGCTTTGAAATTTAAAACATAGTCATGCAGTAGAATATCTTACAATACGATATAGAAAGAAAATCATGAAATCACGCGCATGCACGTGTGCTGCAATTTGATTGGCTGAAACTTTAAATGGCTATATTTATTTTGTTTTTTGACGAAATGTTTGGAATTTTAAATATAGTCATTCATTAAGATATCCTTCAATACGATTAAGATAAAAAAATTCATGAAATCACGCCCATACATGTGTGCTGCAATCTGATTGGCTGAAACTTCAAATGGCTATAACTCCCTTGTTTTTTAACCAAACAGGATGGGATTTAGAACATAGATAAATATAAGGGACTCCTACAAGAAGGTGTATTCATCATGCACTTGCTTGCACGTGCGTGCACGTGAAATGAGTAAAATTAAAAATACACTCGAATGAGTGTATTTTTTAATACTTTTGGATAAAATCTTTGATATCAAGTATATTAAAATATATAGATAGTGTAGACAAGATAATATGGCCGTTACGCACATGAACAAGCGTACAATGCTTAAATTTAAATATATTTTGTATTCTTCTGGGAAGACCTTGATAAGTTTAAATTCCATTAAGTATTTCTTATTTAATAGAGATTACAGGGAATATGGCACCAAAAGGGAGTTGGGGAGCGTTTGGGGAACATCTGTAAGGGTCCCCGTTACAATTAGCACTAGTTACATATGAATTTAAAATTAAACAATCAAATTACATGTATAATACCTCAACATCTTTGTAAAGAGGACGTTTGCGATTTTAAAAGATTTTGCTTCGATTATCACGCGGATTCAACGTGCTTAACATTGTTGTTGTTGTTTATAAATTATGTTTTTAATTTCTTCAAAAGGTAATAACAAACTGTTCCATCTCCTGAATCAAGGCTTTTACGAGTTAAGAGTGGATATGAGTGATTTTGAAAATGAGACACGCTATGTGAAATACAGCAGTATATCACTGAAAGACGAAGCTTCAAAGTATACCATCAACTTATCTGGCTTCTCCGGGAACGTGGGTAAGATTTCTCATAAACCACCAAAAAGACACATGAGACTTTTTTACAACTAATTGTATATTACAATACAGTATAGACTGAAAATCTAACTTTTATAAATTTCTTTGACCTTAACCAACGTAATGTACAATTTAGTATCAATATAAAAAATATTATGAAAAGATAAATCTACCTCATAAATAATTAAATATAGCTCAAAGAACATCGTTACATCACTGGAAAATTACAAATATATAAATGCTTAAATTTTGAGCTGAATTTTCAATTTGTTGTACGTGGTATAAATTTCCACCCACTAGCCCCGCCCTAGCACGAGACCCCTGATCCTGGGGACATGAATTTCACAATTGTCGTAGCGGAGTCAATGCAAATTACATTCCGCCAACAGTTTGTCTGCTGGGTGTCTACAAGTAAAGAAGAAGATTTTTAAAGACTGCATTATTTTCAATGATTTTTGTCCCAAACCTTGGGGCCCCAGAGGGTAATTCACAATTTTTGCTCTCCTTCTCCCATAGATGTTTTATGCCAAACATTGGTTTAAATTGGTTGAGCGATGAAGAGAATAAGCTGAAAATGTTCAAATGTTAACACACGACAGACGATGTACGACGACGGACGAAAACGGAAAGCAATCGGTCAACTGAGTGATTCAGGTGACCTAAATAGTCCCAGTTGTTCGTAACCCTCTTTATTCTCCCTTTAATTTGAATTAGTGTACAGTTGAAAGTATATCTAAGGGGTGTTGAGAAAATTCAATGGAAATTTTTTTGAAATTATCAATTGGAAGTATTTATTGACCTGTGTATTTCATATGCGTATATGCAATTAATATGCTGCATCTCTGATTTTTCTACTCTGATGCGCCTTGACCTCGTGAAACTGGAAACTTGCTAATAATACCTTTCTTCTTTTTTAAAGGTGACTGTTTCACATCGTTAAACAACATGAAATTTTCAACAAAGGACCAGGACAATGATCTATATGGAAACAGCTGCTCCGTTCTGTACAAAGGCGGTTGGTGGTACGGGGGGTGCCACTGCGCTAACCCTAACGGACTCTACCTGAAAGGCGCCACGTCCTTCTTCGCGCAAGGCGTTACTTACAATAATTGGTTAGGGCAATATTACTCACTGAAATCTATTCAATTTATGGTTAGAAGAGTTGTTTGAAAGGTGAATATGCGAACCAAATCGTTGGCCAACGTAAGCAAGAGAAATACAGAAATTTAACACCTGAAAATACAATTTGTTGGAAAACTCTGCCGTTTAAAAGTGAAATTTAAATGGGCGTCTATATATTTCAGAGGAGCTTATATCAATTATGTTGACTGTCTACATGGACTATTCTTTATACAAAATATTGTATAGTCACCATAGCTGCAGATCTGTAGCTCGCTAGTTTGGGAAAACGGGGGTGGACGACCAGAAAAATTAAAATACATATAGTCCTTTACACTGTTTTGTTGTCGTTTTATGTAGAATGGCAAAATGTTTACCTTATTTTTGGGGGAAAAGACAACTTCAGTAAAATTGAGGTAAAAAACTATGGTTTAGTTTAAAACATTGGTTAGTCTGCTTTTCAAATGTTTAGGGAAATACATCATTACAGGTTTCAACGTCTCCTTCGTTTGTTTGTTAGCCATTAACTCTGTATCTCCGACATCTACCTTTGATAGATGATTGATTGTGCCATTCGCACCATTCTAAAATATTATACTTTCATGTAAATTAGTTGAATCTGATTTGTCGAGAAACATTTGTGAAAAAAAAAACTATTACCCGCTGAATAATTAAGCCACGCCTTCCAGCGTAGCAACAGTCAACATTGCTTGACGACGGGTGATATTCTACAAAATAGCGTCTGCGCAGAATTTATGCGCGCACGGTTCACTGTTATAACCGGTATTTATTTGTATAAAACATTCAATATGAAATAATAAATATTGCATGTAGTTGAGTGTAACATTGAAAATTTTCACCCCTCGAAAACAATTGTTAGCCTCGGCTGACAATGGTTTTCTTGGGGTGAAAATTTTCGATGTT